TATTCTCAAGACAGTGCTTGATTTCTATCTACCTTAACTTGAATCCTGTAACCTCAGGGGAAAATAAGGAAAATTATTTCCATAACTTGGTATAACCTTAAAAGTTCTTTAAAAGATTTAAAAAATCACAGAGCTATTGTAAGCACAAGCCACCAGATCAGGCTACCCCTACACTCTGCTGAGCTATGAAACAGAGGTAAGTGCTTGTCCACGGAAATCCTGTATGTATGGAATAATCTTATTCAAACAGTTTTCAGTGCTGTGTTTACATACCTTGAATAAGTCTCCCATCAATGATGTTTCTGAATCTGCTTTATTAGAAGCGACTGAACTCTCACCTAAGTAAAAAAAAGAGAAAAAACAAATTTAAGACAACCAAGATACTGGCAAATCCTCCCATTTTACAAGCATACGGAAGCATTCTGGTTTTAGCCATTCATCCCAGCATCACTTCCCAGTAAAATAAGGATGACAAAATTACTTGATCTAATCAGAGAGTGCATGCACAGATCCTTAGCTCAGGAAACCGATCTCATCCACAGCCTTATAGGAGCAACTAACTGTGATAATCTACACAGATACACAGGGCCTGAAATAATCAGGTACTCAATGCCCACAAGATATCATGTGTGCAGCCTTCTGTGAACTTAACATCATTAATACAGAGCCTAATTCCCCTGAAAACAGGATTTCAGCTCAACACCCCCCACACCCTCAAGCCATCACCTTCTGTGCTCTCAGACCAGAGAAACCCCTGGGGTTCCTTGCCAAGCTTTCCCTTCTTCCTTGCACTCAAGCAAAGGTAAAAGTGAAACGCAGGCAGCAGCAGGGAGGACTGTGCAAACCCTGGTGTTACAGCAGGGACTTCGGGGGGCTTTGTACAGCCAGCTCACACTGTAAATCATGGCAGGCTAAAAATGGCCGGGTGACAAATCTGGAGATGAAATTATGAGCAGTCCGTTTGCTCTTGTATTAAAGGAGTAGTAGCTGCGAGCAGGGCTTTTCAAAGAGGCCCTGCTCTCCTGCAACAGAGGACAGGGGAGAGATGTACAAAGTATTTGCATATAGGATAGGAAAAAAGCACACTGAATGAAAACTTCCTTAGGAAAGGGGACACACACACACACACACACACACACACCACCACCCCCCCCGCCAGGCCCCCCGCAGCAGGGCTGGGTGTCACCTCTGGGTGCCAGCATAAGTCCTTCTTTTAATGGACACCAGAGCTTCCGGTTACCATGGAGTGCAACAGCGCAAACACCATTCCCAGCTGGCATGAAATGGAATCCCATGGTTTTACTATTCATAGCGCTGACATGATAAAGCTAAATTAAGCAGGACCTCTTCACTTTCTCAAACCCAAGAGCAGTGACTACCTCCACTGTTCAGCCTCTGCCAAGACTCTCATTTCACTGGGAAGAGGGGAAGGATATTTTCCTTTATGGCAAGAGAGACTCTAGAGCCACAAACCAGCCTGTCATCCAGAAACAAAATGGCACCTACTTGTTCCCAGGCATCACTTTGACTCCAGCAGGAACAGAGGAGACAAGATGAGTTCTTGTGCTGAACCTAACACCCTCTCCTCATCTTGGGACCCATTACAGAAACCCACACAGCCATTTTAAGCCATGCTCCCGGGGAATGTTTGCTGAACCAGAGTCTATCAGGCCAGGAACAGGGGTCAGCTCAAAGCACAAATAAGAGCTGTTATGCACAAGGTTAGACCTTGGTGCCTACCCGTAGCAGTTTACCCAGCCTTGCAGGATTACCTTGCACAAGCTCCCCAGGGAGCCAGAACACTTTTTGCCCTCTTTCAATGCCTGTGGCCTAAACTGTATGGCTAAATATACAGCAGGAATCCTGCCACACAGAATTCCCTGTATCATTGAAATTCAGAGGAAACCATACGACCTAAACCCCATGTTACTGTATTGGCACATCCAGCTCAGTATACTGTAAACTTTTCCAGATATGGAAAAAAGTTCAACGGCTATGGAGCTGCTTAAACTCTTAAGTTCTGACATGGCAAGTTGTCATTTTGCAAAGAAAAAGGCCAGAGAGCTAAAAAAATACAAATAATCAAGCTTCTGGCAAAACAGCACTGTTCTTTTAGGGAGCCAGTGATACAACTACAAAGGGAACACCACAGTTCCACAATGAAAAGCATGCTCAGGCTTAACCAAGTTTGAAAGGCTTCAAACTAACTTGCCATGTGTGCCCCTCCCTGTGCCCGCTAAAACACGAACAAGACATTCACAGTGCAGAGGATATAAAACAAAACCATACAGCAGGCTCTAAACAGAATGTAGACACAATCATAAGGTCCCAGGCTCTACAGAGGATCCCATGTCACAAATCCATGCGTTTTACACAGCTCTCTGCAGTAACTGCATCAGTTTATCCTCTTATCTGCTGTTTGATTATCTCACAAGGTCAGCCATAAGCTGAGCACCTACAAAGTGCCAGAGCAAGAGGATGGAGGGCCAAATGCTCCAGGAGAAAGCACCGTCGTGCTTAAACACTCTTTTTTCCCCTGTCTCCACAACACGCTCCCTTAAAGGCGACCTGAGAGGCTCAGCTCTGGAACATCTCTTTTCAAATGAATGCAGGTTATGCAATAGGAACCCAAGGAATAGATCTCCTCTTCAGCCACAGCACTCCAGGGCAGCGGCCACACAAAAGGCACATTAAAAACACACCCAAAATGTCACGTTGGCCATGCCACAACCACTGACATAACCACCTGCCTGTGCTCCTAGCGGGAAGGAATACTGCAAGGGCCCTTTGCAGAGAGTAACTGGATGATTTAATTGTCTGAGCTCTTAGGAAAGAGCATCCTGAAAACGTCCATTTGCTGATGTGACCCTGCAGCCTCTTATAGGAGCTCTGTGCTGCCACTGCTGCAGACACAGCAGATAAAGGCTGCTCTCCAGCTGCCCATCAGCTGTAAGGCAACTTCTAAGGTTTTCCAAACGGTTTTCCAAGATTATTTCAATGAACAACTCTGTTCTTATGCCGCAGCATCTGCCACATTATGGTACACTTAAGAAATGAGTATCCCACCTCTGCCTAGTCCCAAGGAAACGCTGTTGCACGCGCACCACCACCCACTCCACGTCTAGGGCATCCTCACTCACTCTCACACACACACAAGGAAACAGAAGTTAAGCTGCGCCTCCCAAAGCCGATACACGGCTTATTCCAAACTTATCGCGTCACCTTCTGGCACGTAAATGCACTCAGAAAGTAACTCGGGAGGCAATTACAGCGACAATTACCTTGTGGAGACTCTGGATTATACTTATAGGGACTTCAAACGCATTCAAATCCCCTAAACAGCAACACTTAAGAAAACAAACCCTCATGAGCTCGGTGAAAAGGACTCAGGGCTCACGCGTGCCTCTGTGCCACTGCAAAGCCCATTCCACCGCCTCCCCTGAGGTCCTGCCCAACTCCACTTCCACACAAGATGCAGAGTGGGAAACGCGAGTGGAGGGACCCGTCCCGCTGCACGCGCCCTGCGAGAACCACAGACGGCCGGGGCTCAGGGAGGACGCCGGCAGCGGACACAGCCCTGACCCCGCGACGAGAGGAAACCCTTGGGGACGGCCCGAAGCGAACGAAGAACCTCCAGGAACGGGTGCAGAGGCCCGGGCGGAGAGCGGGAACCTGCGGGAAGGGGCTGGGCCGGGAGAGGGGGGGGGGGGGCGAGTCCCCGGAACAGGCCGCGGCGTGAGGCCCGGCCCGGCCACAAGGCCAAGGCGAGGGCGGCGCCGGGAGCGCAGCGATCGATCCGCGCCCGAGGGGAGGGGGGGGCACCGCAGGCCGCGCCCGGCACATGGCGGCCAACGGGGGAGCAGGGTGGGCAGCGCTGAGGCCCGGGAGGAGACGGGGGGGGGGCAAAGCGCGGGCGGGCTGTGATGAGCGGCCGCGGAGGGCGCTCGGTGGGAGAAGGGAAGAGGAGGAGAAGGGGAGAGGAGGAGGAGAAGAGCCGGCGGCGGAGGGACGAGACGAGACGGGACGGGACGGGCTGGGCCTACCCGTACTCACCGGGCCCCACTCCGCCCGCGGCCTCCTCAGGAGCCAGGCGCCTTCCACCTCCCTCTCACGCACTTCCGCTTGGCGCCCGCCCGCCGCCCGCCCTCGAGGCTGCCGGGAGCTGTAGTCCAATGCCCACCGAGTGCCCATTGGCTGCCAGCGTGAGCTGGACTACAACTCCCAGGGGGCACAGCGCATGGGGGCACGTCACCGCTCGCTCCGCTCCTCACGCCACGCGGAGGGTGCGGCTTCCGCCGAGACGGAAAATGGCGGCGGCGGTGGCGGAGCTGGAGGCCGCTCCTCTCCCTCCTCCCCGGCCGGTTCCCGGGTGCTGCCCCGCAATGGGGCGGTGCAGGGCGGGCGGTCCCTGCCGGGGGTTAACCCGCCCCACCCCACCCCACCCCGAGCCCGGCCACCCGCGCGGTCCCACCCCCGAGGACATCGAGGCGAGGCGAGGGCAGTTGTCCACTTTATTGTTCGCAGAGGTTGTCTGGATGCATTAACACTGTCACAACGGCACGGAGAGCAGCGCGGCACCGCCCGGGCCCGGTGCTGGTGCTCCGGGGGCATGCGTGGGGACGTGGGCATGGGGAACAATCCCCCCCCACACACACACACTCTTCCCAGGCCGGGCTGAGCCTTCCTGCCTGAGCTGCGCACCCCAAACCCCCCTGCCCCACGCAGGGCCGGGCCAGGCGGCATCCCCCGTGTCTGGCCGAGCTCTATTTACAGTATTCACATACATTGTACCCAGCAAGTTAAATAACTACATTATTACAGCACACGTCTGGGGCGGCTCCGGCGGAGGGGGGGGGGGGGTGTCTGATAAGGTGCATATTTAAAAAATGAAACAAAACTGAAAGAAGAACGAAGAACAAAGAGAGAAATCAGGCGTCCCCGCAGCGCCTCGCGAGGGTCCGCAGCGCCCGGCCCCCCCCCGCAGCACGGCAGGGCCAGGAGCGAGCTGTTCTCTTCTGACAACAGCCACTGGTCCGGCTGCGCGGCCCAGCGGGGACACATCCCAGGGCCCGGCCTCACAGCACCTCTGCGGGCAAAGGGGAGGTGTTGAGCCTGGGGTGGCCTCAGCACAGCCCCGGCACCACAACCCTCCCCTCTCTCACCTGTGACCTGGGGGGGCTTGACCACGGCCTGCTTGAGGAAGGGCTCCTTGTCACTGAAGGGGATGATGCTGCCGGGGCTGCTGCTGTGGTGGGAGAGTTCCAGCAGCTCCTTGGAGCCCTCCGGGCCCGAGAAGCCGTTCTCGTGCTTGCCGGGCTGCACGCCGTTCACCAGGGAGGCCGGGGCTGCCACCTCCTTGGCTTGGGAGCTGTGGGGCAGGGGGGCTGGGGTCAGCCAGGACCCTGCTGCCCCCCACTTCCTTCAGCCCATCCTGTGCTCACCTTGGCTGCAGCCCTTCACCCACCAGGCCCTTCAGCCCCCCCGGAGTCCCTGCGCTCGGTGTCTCCATCTCGGGGAGCTCCTCCTGCTTTGACATGGGCCCCGCGTGCTTCTCATGGCCTGGGGATGTCGGCAGAGCCCCCGCTCAGCCATGGCCCTGGCCAGGAGCATGGCTGGGACAAGAGCAGGCACCCCAAGGGGCAGCAGGGTGTGGGAAGGGGCCACGCACCGGGGACATCGTCCTGCTCGGCTGCTTTGCCATTCACCACCTTCTTGTCCTCCTTCTTCTGCAGGGAGAGGAGAGCCGTGAGGGGCAGTGGTGGCTCGGGGCAGGAGGGCTCCGCAGAGTCCCCAGTGTCCCGAGGTGCATCCGGACAAGGGACAAGCACCCACCTTGGCATCTGCTGCGTCAGATTTGCGCGTCCTCTTCATGATCTCCTCCAGGCGCTGCGGGGCAGAGAGGGGCTCATGCACAGCCCTCACCAGCCAGACCCACCCTGGGCGCTGGGCAGGACCCTTGCAGGGACGCCCCTGCTGTGTCCCCAGCCCTCACCTTCTTCCTCTCCAGCCGCTCCTGCTCCTCACGCTGGAAGTGCTTCTCGCGCTCCAGCCGCTGCCGCTCAGCCTCTTCGCGTGCTCTGGCCTCGGCCTCTTCCCTCTGCGGCACAGCGGGGGGCAGGGACGGATCAGACAGGGCAGGGATGGATAGGATGGGGCAGGGACAACGGGGACACAGTGCCCAGGCAGCTCAGCACAGCCCTGCCCTGTGTCCCCTTCCTCCACCCTGGGCATTAAGGCAAGGATGCCTCACACTAGACCGTGTCACCCAAGGCTCTGACCTTGAACGCTGCCAGGGATGGAGCATTCAGCACTTCTCTGGGCACCCTGTGCCAGCCCCTCAGCACCCTCACAGTAAAGAACTTCTTCCTCATATCCAACCTAACTTCCCCTGTTTCAGTTTGAACCCATCACCCCTTGTCCCGTCACTGCAGTCCCTGATGAAGAGCCCCTCCCCAGCATCCTTGCAGCCCCCTTCAGGCACTGGAAGCTGCTCTGAGGTCTCCATCAGCTTCTCTTCTCCAGGCTGAACAGCCCCAGTGTTCTCAGCCTGGCTCCACACGGGAGCTGCTCCAGCCCCTGATCACCCATCCCTGCCTTCATCCCAATGCCACCTCTTCCTCCCCATCCCCACACCCCACACCTGTCTCTGCAGCCGCTCCGTCTCCTCCCGCTCCGCCCGTGCTCTCTCCTGGGCCTCCTGCTCCTCCTGCAGCCGCCGCTCCTCGTCCCGCTGCCGCGCCAGGGCCTCCCTGCGCGCCTGCTCCTCGGCCGCCCGCTGCGCCCGCTCCTCCTGCAGCCGCCTGCGGGGACGGGGCCCTCAGCACGGTGCGGGGGGGAGCGGGGCGCAGGGGATGGGGCCAGCACCCACCTCTGCTGCTCCTCCTGCTCCCGGCGCTCCCGCTCCTCCCGCTCCCGCTGCTCCCGCGCCTGGCGCCGCTTCTCCGCCAGCAGCCGCGCAGCCTCCTCCCGGTCCGTGGTGCCGGCGGGGGGTCTGCCCGGGGGGGTGGCTGGAGCCGGGCTGGGGGCTGCAGGGGCCGGGGGAGCTGTGGGGTGCACACAGCATCAGTGCTGCCCCTGCTCCCCCCAGCCCCGCTGCCCCCCAGCCACCCGGTACCCACCTGCTGCTGGCTCTGCGGGAGCCTTGGGGGGCTCGGGGAGGGCCGGGGGGGCCGGGCCCCGCTCCTCCTCCTTCCTGTCCCGCACCTTCGCCTGGCTCTCCTGCTCCCCCCGCTCCTCCCGGGCCCTGGCCCGCACCTTGGGAGAGGAGTGGGTGCTGCGGGGCAGGGGCGGCTTGTGGGGAGAGCCGAGAGCCGGGCTGGGGGACGCTGGACGGGTTTTGGGGGTGGCAGGGGACGAGGGACGGTTCTTGGGGCCGGGGCTGCAAACAGAGCAAGAGACGGTGTTAGCGGGGCTGGGGCTGCCCCCGTGGCAGCGGGGCGAGGGGCCGGTGGTGCTGGGTCCCTACCTGCTGTCGGCAGCGGGCAGGAGCCGGGGCTGTGCCGCCGGCAGCGTCTGCCGCTTCTTGAGGCTGCGCTCGCGGGACAGGGCGCTGCGCTCCTTGGCGTTCTCCCGATCCTTCTCCTTCTTCTCCTTCTTCTTCTGCTCCGGTCGGGCAGAGACAGAGACAGCGTCAGCACCGGGTCCCCGGCCCAACGCGGAGCCAGGCTGTGCCCCGCGGCCACGCTGGCACCGCAGGGGATGGCACTCACGGGCGAGGCCTCGGTCCTGCGGCGCGGCGTCACGTCGGGGCTGGCCGTGGTCCCCTTCCGCCTGTCCCAGCAGCGGTGCTGCAGGCGGTGGTTGTGGCAGGGGCTGAGGGGGCTGGCGGAGGCCGAGCGGGGGCACACGGGCACTGGGGGCAGGAGAAAGCACCCCGTCAGGACGGAGGCACTCGGCACCGGTGCCGCTGTCACCAGGCTCCCTTGTCCCAGTGGCCGCGGGTACTCACCCTGCTCCTTGCCGTTCCCAGCCAGCGTCACGGCGCTGCGGCTGCGTGCGAGGAAGGACAGGGTGGGTGTCATCAGCCGGTCCACGATGCTGCTCTCCCACGGGCTAAGCTGCAAGCTCCGGTCTGGGGAAGGAGAGGAGCCGTTAGCACAGCTCTGAGCCCTCAGGCAGCGGCCCCAGCCCGCTGCGAGGGAGCAGCCATGCGGTTGCAGCAAGGCCGGGGCACATGCACAGCCCTGGGAGTGCCCGAAGCTCTGGGCTGTGCAGGACGAGGGGCCATGCGGGCGGAGGAGTACGGGGGGTGCCTGAGCACCCACGGCACGGCGCAGCTACGTGACAACGACGGTGCTCCCCTGCCCCACGGTCACCCCAGCCACCATGCACCCACAGCGAGCGGTACCCACAGGGTGCAACCCTGCTGAGAGCAGCCCTGTCTGCTCTGGCCCTTTCCTTGCTGACGTGTCCCTTCCCTGTGCCCCCATCCCGGTGTGATCAAGCCCCCAGCACACCCTCACCCCAAGGGAGCTGTGCCAAAGTCACCGAACATGCTGCAGGAGCCAGGCCAGGCTCATGGCACCCAAGGAACAGTGGTCCCCAGCCACGATGCTGGCCCAGCAGGACGCATCCACTGGGCATCACCAGCACCAAACACCTCAGGAAGCACCCACATTGACAAGGCCCCTCTGCCCCTTTCCACCAGGGCCCCACTTAGGGGTCCTGCTGCCAGGAGGGGAGAAAACAGAGCCATGGGTGCAGCGGGACTGGACGCCAGGTCCGGCACCGGCCCAAGGAGCTGCTGCTCCCACCCGTGCGGTGCTGACAGCCCCTGGGTGCCTGTCCCTGGGCTGAGCCCCCCCCGCACGGGGACATTGGGAGCTGCCTGCGTCACCAGCGCCCGCAGCCGCACGCGTCAGCTGCTCGGGCTATTTATAACCAGCCATCACCAGGCAACTCCGAAACACAACAGCAGCGCCGGCGCTGGACGCATCCCTCCGGCGCAGAAGTCAGCCCCCGGCAGCTCGCAAGGGCCGGGACGACCTCGCAGCACCCGACGCAGCTTCGCACCCATGGGCACCCAGCCCCTGTTGGGGACAGGCGACGCGGTGGCACCAGCCCCAAGGAGGGTCTGGTGACCCTGTGCACCTGCATCTGCACCCAGCAGAGCTGCCCTGGGGCAGGGAGCCAGGGCTCCCGTCCCCATCCTGGCGCCCCACGGGGCTGCCAGCACCTCCTCATCCTCCTCCTCCTCCTCCTCGCAGCCTGCACACAACCTCAGGGAGCCTCCTCCTGCAAACAGCAAACGGCTTCTCCTCTCTCCGCGGGCACCGTGCTGCAAGGCAGGGCCTGGGGACGGGGGGGACCCTGGCCTCGGGGGTCCCCAGTGCTGCGCTGGGGCAAACACAAAGGGCTCTTACTTCTACTGGGAGAGTTCCAGAGGGTGGCGGAGGATTTGGAGAGCCGCTTGTTGATTATAGAGTCGACGTGTTTGGGGAGGTTTACAGCGGACACCGAGCACCGGCTCGCACCTGGAGAAGGGAAAAGACACAAGGGCATTAAGGTCCCGGGGCTGGGGCTGGGCCCCCCACATGCAGCATGCACGGCCGTGCCGGGGCACCGGGGCAGGAGGATGCAGCACAGAGAGTGGGACCAGGAGATGCTGGTGTCCAGGAACACGACACATGGCACTGGCATCCGGCATGGCGCGGTGCCTGAGGGAGCCCCAGGGGGGTCATGCTGGGATCATGCAGGGATCTCATCCTTTGGGAGCCAGGGTGGCTTCAGGGCCCTGCTAAAAGGGTGTCCCCAAGAGCAGTCCTGGGAGCTGGGAGGCCAAGGACCTTGGCAGCACCGGGCGAGCGGGTTGAGAGCAGCAGGTCCAGACACACAGAGGAGAGCGCTGACACCGGTGCTGGGTCACTATGGCAGTGCCAGGAGGGTGCTGGTGGCCGGCACCACCTCCACTGGCCTCCTCTGGAGAAGATGGCCTGGGCAGCTCCCTGCTGGTGCAGGTGGCAGCAGGACCCTGGTGAGTGACAGCGCTGGAGCACGTCCCAGGGAGAGCAGGCAGGGGAAGGTGTCCCCTTGCCGGAGCGTGCCAGGCACTGCACCATGGACACACAGGCCTGTCCCAGAGTGTGCCACAGCCGGACACACGGCACCAGGACAGGCAGCCCAGACAGGCACAACCAGAACACAGCGCCTGTACACTCAGCTTGGCCAGGCACAGCTGGGAACGCAACACCTGTACACATGTGGTGCCAGTACATACAGCCTGGCACACAACACCTGTACACATGTGGTGCCGGTACATACAGCCTGGCACACAACACCTGTACACATGTGGTGCCGGTACATACAGCCTGGCACACAACACCTGTACACATGTGGTGCCGGTACATACAGCCTGGCACACAACACCTGTACACATGTGGTGCCGGTACATACAGCCTGGCACACAACACCTGTACACATGTGGTGCCGGTACATACAGCCTGGCACACAACACCTGTACACATGTGGTGCCGGTACATACAGCCTGGCACACAACACCTGTACACATGTGGTGCCGGTACATACAGCCTGGCACACAACACCTGTACACATGTGGTGCCGGTACATACAGCCTGGCACACAACACCTGTACACATGTGGTGCCGGTACATACAGCCTGGCACACAACACCTGTACACACATGATGCCGGTACATACAGCCCAGCACACGACACCTGTACACACGTGATGCCGGTACATACAGCCCGGCACACGACACCTGTACACACGTGATGCCGGTACATACAGCCCGGCACACAACACCTGTACACACGTGATGCCGGTACATACAGCCCGGCACACAACACCTGTACACACGTGATGCCGGTACATACAGCCCGGCACACAACACCTGTACACATGTGATGCCGGTACATACAGCCCGGCACACAACACCTGTACACAAATGATGCCGGTACATACAGCCCGGCACACAACACCTGTACACATGTGATGCCGGTAATTACAGCCCAGCACACAACACCTGTACACGTGTGATGCCGGTACATACAGCCCGGCACACAACACCTGTACACACGTGATGCTGGTACATACAGCCCGGCACACAACACCTGTACACATGTGGTGCCGGTACATACAGCCCGGCATATGACACCTGTACACATGTGGTGCCGGTACATACAGCCCGGCACACAACACCTGTACACACATGGCACTGGTACACACAGCCTGGCACACATCTGTACACATGTGGTGCCGGTACATACATCCCGGCACACAACACCTGTACACACGTGGTGCCGGTACATACAGCGCGGCACACGACACCTGTACACATGTGATGCCGGTACATACAGCCCGGCACACGACACCTGTACACATGTGATGCCGGTACATACAGCCCGGCACACGACACCTGTACACACATGATGCCGGTACATACAGCCTGGCACACAACACCTGTACACATGTAGTGCCGGTACATACAGCCCGGCACACAACACTTGTACACATGTGGTGCCGGTACATACAGCCCGGCACACAACACCTGTACACGCATGGCCCTGGTACACACAGCCTGGCACACAGCGCCAGGCATGCACTGTACACATGTGGTGCCAGTACACATAACTTGGCCAGGCAGGCACAGTGGGGCAGATCCTGCTCCCCTCTATGCCTTGCGCACACCAGGCAGTGCCAGCACCCACCTGCATGTCCCTGTCCCCTCGGCAGTCAAGGGACAAGGGAGACCTCCACATCCCCAACCCCGGTGCCGAACCCCACGCGGTGTCCCCCAGACACCCCCCTGGAAGGGCTGAGTGTCGGCTATGGGGCAGTGGCACAGCTGAGCCTCCAGCAGCCACCTCAGGGCATGGCACAGCCACGCACACCCAGGCACAACGCAGCCACGGGCACCCCTGTGCTGGAGCTGGAGGGTCCAAGCGCTGCCCCTGCCCAGGCAGGAACAAGGGGACACGCTGCAGCACAGCCCCCAGTGAGAGATGGCCACAGCCTCTCCCAGCTCCACAGCCCATGCCTAGCTCCTCCGGCTGCTGGAGACCCGGGCAGCACAGCCACAGCATCCCACAGGCAGCCAGGGCTGTCCACAGGCACATCCCCTCACACAACAGTGACCACACACAGCCTCCAGCTCACCCCAACCCTGTGACAGCAGGGAAAAGCCAAGGGACACCGAGGGTCCCCATCAGGCCCTGGCACAGCCCAGGGTGACAGCAGCACGGCCCACAGCAGCATGGGGCTGAGCTGGGGTTTGGGGTCTCACCCTCCTTGCACAGAGCACTGCAGAGCCATGCCCAGCCGGCACAGAGCCACAGGGCCCCGGTGCCCGCACCCAGCCCGGCACTCACCATCCTTGTGTGCAGGAGAACCGTGGTGCAGGGCTCCAGCCCAGGACCACCGCTGCTGCCGGATCTCTGCCCACGTCTTCTTGGCCGATCGCTGGATCGCTGCCTCGTAGCGCTCCTGCCCGAGGGAGAAGGACAGGGTGAGGCCAAGGGCTTGGAACATGGGGCAGAGGCTGCCACATGCCGGGAGGCTACCACAATGATGGGATGCTTGGAGGAGATGTGGAAGTGATGCCTGGCCCAGCCAGGGCACATGTGCCCAAAGAGCTGGGTACCACGGAGGCTCTGCACCATAAAGGATGAATGAAAGATGGGCACGGTGGGAAGCTGTGCCTAAGGAGCTGGGTACCACAGAGGCTCCGCTCCATAAAGGATGCATGGAGGACAGGCACAGTGGGAAGCTGTGCTCAGAGAGCTGGGTACCGCAGAGGCTCTGCACCATAAAGGATGCACAGAGGACGGGCACAGTGGGAAGCCCCCAAAGTGGCTGCTGGAGCCACAGGGTGAGCCCGGGGAGCGCATCCCCGTCCCCATCCCCACCGCACCCGCAATTCCCCATCCCCACCTTGTTCTTCTCCAGCTTCTGCCTCTGCCGCTCCTCCAGCACCGCGCGGCGCTTCTCCGCCTTCAGCCTCTGCTCCTCCAGGCGCTTGCGGCGCTCCTCCAGCTGCTTCTCCCGCAGCAGCCTGGCCTTCTCCTCCTTCTCCAGCCACAGCACCCGCTTGGCGGCTGCAGGATGGAGCCGTGGCGGCGGGGTCACACCCGAGGTGCAGCCCCGCTGATCCCCGCACTGGGTACCCGTGCCCATGCCGGCGGCGTGGGGCTGAGCGCTGCCCGCGCCCGCAGCACCCGGAGCACGCGGGGCAGGCGGCATCGCGGGGCCGGCGAGGGAGGGGTTTGGGCAAGGACAAAAGGGAGGCCGGGAGCCCGCGGAGCGAACAATGGGGGAATGAGGGTGGAAAGAGCGCGGGGACGAGGAGGCCCCATGCGCCGCGCAGGGGCCCGGCACCCCGAGCTGCTGCCGCCTGCACACAGCAGAGCTGGGTGCTGCACTGGGGGGACATGCACAGATCGGGGGGGCACCCATGGACCCGGGGGGCACCCATGGACCCAGGGGCACCCGCACCATGCGGAGCAGCAGCAACACGGCGATGTGCTGGGGGTGCAGCGCTGCCCGGGCTCAGCTCATTGCAGTTAATGGGATTGCCCGTGACCCAGCAAAGCTCCTTAGCTCTTGCCTTCCTCCACCATCCACTTTCCCTCCCGGCACACACCCGGGATCCGGAGCCCTGCTTCCCACCCCACTCCCCAGCCCCGTACCCAGGTACTTGGCTCGCTCCTCGCGCCGCTCCTTCGCCTGCTTGTGCCTCGCCTGCGCTTTCTGGGTATCTGCAGTGGGGAGACACCATCAGAGCAGCTCCCATGGGGTGCCAGCATCACCACAGCCCCCCTGACCCCCCCAGCACCCACCTTGCTTGGGCCTGGGGCTGGCGGCACTTGCTGGCGACGCTGCAGCCGCGGTGGGGCGGTCGCTCCGGGGGGGGGCATCCTTCGAGGGCCCGGCTGTGCCACACACGGGGGTCTTGGCATCGGGGGGGGGCCCTTCACTGGCAGCTGGGGCCGGGGGTTCGCTCCCGTGGGGCAGGGGCTCTGCTGGGCAAGGGGCAGCAGCGTGGATGGGGACGGGCTGGCTGGGGGCGGGGGGTGATGCCTCTGCTTTGGGGGGCTCTGTCACGGGCGGGGGGGGCTTGGGCAGGGACTGAGGGGGGGCACTCTCTGCTGAGGGGCCTGCAGGGCTGGGGAACCCGGGCTGTCCTGGTGGCGTGGCGGCTGCAGGGATGGGGTGGTCACGCTGTGGGGGGGTGCTCCCGGAGGGGGGTGTCACGGTGGGGGCACCGATGGGGTGCTTGGGGGGGGTCAGGGCTGCAGGGGCGGCTGAGACGAGCTCTTCCGAAGGGGTGATGGTGGCAGGGATGGGAGACAGGGGCTGCGCCGAGGGGAGCACGGCTGCAGGGACGGGCAGGTCACGCTGCGGGGGGGTGCGCTCTCCCTGCAGGGCACCCCCAGGCGAGGCGGGGGGGACGACGCTGTCTCCCATCGGGGATGGTGGCTTCCCTGGAACACAGCAGAGCAGAGCAAACAGTCAACGGCAGAGCCTGGGGCAGCCCTGTGCCCCCCCGACACGGCCCTCGGGAGCAAGGCTGTCCCCGCAACAAGCCCTACCGCTGCCCCGGTTTTGGGGGGCACCCCCGCCGGGTGCCAGGCGCCGGATGCACAATGCACAGAGGGACCGGCCGGCGCTGCACCAGGCACCGCTGCCACAAAGCCGCCCTTCTTCCTCTGCCAGCTGCCACCCAGGCCCCACGGGGCTGGGGACCCACGGCCGCCGTCCCCGGAGGATGCGGAACCGCTTCCGCCGGCGCTGGCCCCGTGGATGGAGCAGGATGGGCTCGGGCTCCGTGCCCTGACGTCACCGCTGTGGCCCATGTCCCCCCGCGCCGCGCCACGGCCGGGCCCGCGTGCAGCCATGAACTCATGGCCCAGGAATGCACGCGAGGACACGGCTGCGGCCGGCACAAAACAGCCCCCTCCTCGCGTGGGGCTCGCTTCCCGCATGGGGCAGGTGAGGGGCACCCCAAGGGAGCAGCACTGGGATCGCTCCCCGCCGCCGCCAGCCCGTGGGGACACCGGGTCTCCATCCCTAGCACCAGTGTGTGCAGTGGTGCCACAGCACGTGCCTTCTGCAAGCGTGGATGCACCGTGACCGGCAGTGGTGATCCCCCTGACCCCCATCAACCAGCCCTTTGCAAACACACCTGTGAGCATGTGCCAAGCTCCCAGCCCCACGCCCCATCGTCGTTCCTGAAGGGAATGATGCCCAATCCACTCCAGGGCCACACACACCCGGCTCCAGCCGCCTGGGCAGCACTGCAGTGCCTGGCCCCAGCTCCGGTGGTGTGCGGTGACCACACCGGTGACCGCGGGGCGATATCAGACACGGGGCTGAGCCGTGTTTGCAGAGCTCTCCACAGTCATCAGCGAGGGGCAAAGTGTGGGCTCTGCAAACACGGCCCGGCGCCGCTCCTCACCCCACTGCAGCAGCCCCAGGCACCGCCAGCCCCGCTCCGTGCCATAGGCATGGCTGCACCCCAGTCCCGTGGACACAGCACCCACAGCAGCGCACGCCTGCCCACGGAGGGGCTGGGGTCCTGCTGCAGCCCCATAGCACGCTGCGGGGCTCCTGCCTGCAGGGTTTACCCCTCCCCATGCTCTGCAGGGGACTCATCCAGCCCCGGCCCCCCCGCAGACCCCGGCAGCCTTCCGGGTATTTTCTGCTGCAGGAAGCCAGCCCATCCCCTGGCCCCGATCCTGCACATCCCATATCCCCATCGCTGCACCCCCCACATCCCCATCGCTGCACCCCCCACATCCCCATCGCTGCACCCTCCACATCCCCATCGCTGCACCCCCCACATCCCCATCGCTGCACCCCCCACATCCCCATCGCTGCACCCTCCACATCCCCATCGCTGCACCCCCCACATCCCCATCGCTGCACCCCCCACATCCCCATCGCTGCACCCCCCCACATCCCCATCGCTGCACCCTCCACATCCCCATCGCTGCCCCCCTCGATGCAGACATCAGCTCATGTGTGCCTGGGGAGGTGCCGGGACTGCAGTTAGGGGCTCCCCTGCCCCGACCCCCAGGGCCGGCCCCGATCAGCACCCCCAGGACAGGGGGCTTGGCAGGCACCAGCTCTAAGGACAACACCCGTGGTGGCACCACGCGTGTCCCAGCCGGGAGAGGTGACCCTCGGGGTGCTGCCCGTGGGGACGAAGCATCAAGGCCAGGCTGGTGCCCCGAGCAGTCAGAAATGTCTCCGGAGCCCTGGATGTGCAGGGAGCAATGCTGGGGGATGGCGGGAGCCTCCGGCCACCCTGCGCCATGGGGCACACACAGAGCCCTGGGCAGGCTCCATCCAAGGGGACAGCAGTGCCCATGGCCAGGGCAGGGCTGCCTGCGCAGGCTGGGGCCAGCCCTGCTCCATCTGTCCCTGTCGCTGCTCCAGCACGGCAGCTGCCCTGAAACCCAACGCTGCCTGCGCCCGGGCGGCGCGGGCGTCCCCTGTCCCCTGGCCGCGGCATTCCACAGGGATTAGCTCCCGGCCCCCCAGACGTGCAGGCACGGCTCCCCTGCAGCCCCCAGCCCGGCCGAGCCTGCGCAGCGCTGGTCCCACTGGAACCAGCCATGGGGCTGCCCCTCGACGCCCGTCACCCAGCGCATCCCAGCCCATGCCATGGGTCCCTGTGGCACCAGCGCCACCGAGCACCACCAGCACCTCCAGCCCGGCACTGCCCCGTGGCCAGCACATGGCTGGGGATGCTCAGCCAGGCAGAGGCAAATCCCTGGTGCTGTGAAGCGAGAGCACATCGAGGCCCTGCAGGGCGCTCTGCCCGAGCAGCCTCCGATACCCGTCCGCTGCGCATCCCCGCGGGGCACTTCCCATGAGGACGGGGCGGGGGGGGGCACCCGCCTGCTTTAACCTCAGCTCCCCCCATCCACCGTAACCTCAGGTCCCCGCTCTGCGGCACGATTGGGGCTGCTCCACGTGCGGTACCTGCCCTGGGATGTGGGCATTGGATGGGGCCCATCGTTACCCCAGGAGGAGAGGAGAGAGGGGCTGGTGGGTGCAGCGTGGCCACTGCAAAGCCACCCACTGGGGCTGGTGTCACTGCGCCCGGCCCACCCTGGCCATGGCACATGGGATGCCCAGGGACAAGATCCCGAGGGGAGCCACAGCCCTCAGACCCACCACTGGCTCTGCAGGGCTGCTCCCCATAGCCCATGGTGCACCCGTGGGCCCTTCCCAGTGCTGTCCAGGCTCCCACCCCACCTCCCCATGTCTCAGATGTGCTTCAGAGCCGAGCCCTACCTGGTCCCACCCAACTCCCGGGATTCCTGGGCACTGCAGCACCTGGATGACAGGGGTAGTGAGCAAGCATCCCTGGCACATCCCCAGCACAACCCCAGCACGTCCAAGCCTTGGCTCACATGCATGGGCAGGGAGACACGGGCAATGCTCTGAGCAAGCACCAGCAGCCCGCACCACAGGGGTGGTCAGTGCCCCCCTGGCAGCCACCAACAGCAGTGACACCCCATTCCCCATGGAAGGGGTCCCTTGGGGGTGCTGCCTACAGCCACTCGCACCCTGGCCCCGGGCAGCATGAGGGCTGTATCCTGAGGCTGAGCTCAGGCTCAGAGCCAGCAGAAAGCAGCCGGGGCACGTCAGGCATCGTCCCATGGCACTCCATACACTGCTCTCAGCTCCAGGGACAGACATGGGCAGGGCAGGAGGGGCACAAGGGAGGGCACAGGCAGATGCCCACAGTGGGTACCAGGCAGGAGGAAGGGGCACGATGGGGCACTGCCTGCCCTGCTGGGGCCACGCTGCCTTTGCACCAGCTCCTGGCAGCACTGGTTTGGCCCGGGGCTGCACCCACTGCTCCATGCAGCACTGCATGGGGGTCCCAGACCCTTCCAAGGGCACATGGAGGCAGCCCTGGGGGATCCGCGCCAGCCTCCAGGCCGTGGCAGAGGCCACCAAGCTCATGTGGCACAGCACCGCGCCAGCAGTGAATGTGCCAAGCCAGGGAGCAACAAGGGGAACTTGGGAGATGGGATCTCGTGGCCAGAGCTGGGGGGTTTCCAGGGTTTAAAATACACACGGAGGGAAGGGCCGGGGCTGCTGCTGCACCCCAGCACCCGCACAGCCCAAACAGAGCGAGGGCAGCACCTGCCCGTCATCCATCTGGGCAGCACCAGTGCGACAAGAGGTGCCCTCGTCCTTGGGGCGACCTGCGCGGAGCCGCACTCCCGAAATCCTGTCTGCCAGCATCCCACTGGGCCAACAGAAACCTGGCCCCAAGGCAGGGCACGGGGCAAGCCCAGCGCCGCCAAAACCAGGTCCTGAGCCTCGCAACGCGGATGCAGGCACCTACCGGGGCTGGGGCCGTGCAGGATCCGGCTCTGTGGTGTCCGTCCCTGCTCACAGCCCTGCGACAAGCGAGAGCTGCGCTAACTATTTTGGACACGGCACCACGGGACTGTCACATCCCCGCTCCCTCCGCACGTCGCATCACGTTGCTCTGATGGCTTCACAGCAGCAGCTCTGCTGGCATCCCTGTGCTGCGAGAGCTCCCGAGCCGCCTGCTCCCAAACACAGGAGCTGGCTGGCACCCAGCTCACCCTGCACCCTCCCTCTCTGCTGTGCAGGAGGGAATGGGGCTGGAGAAGCCAGGGGAAACATGGACAAGGGCAAACCTGCTGCCTGCCTTGGTCCTCACCCCTGTGCCCATCCGCAGGGCAGCATCCCAGCCATGCAGCTCCATGGAGCCACACTCTGCTCCTGCCCCCCCAGTGCCACCAGCTGCCCCACACTGCTGTGGGTCCCAGTCCCTGGAGTGAAACCCCATCCCTGCTGGCAGCCAGGATACAGCACACTGGGGAGTGCAGGGGCTCCAACCCACGCTGGGAAGCAGGACAGGGAGCAGCCTGGCCTGCCCGGCCACGCAGGCTGCCCAAATGAGAAGGCTCAGGGATGGTCCCTGGAGCGGGATGTGGCGCATGCACATCCCAACCCCATCCTCTCATGGTGCAGCAGCCAAGGTCCCCCTGGTACCAGGGAACCAAACCACCGGGCAGCGACGGCATGGAAGGGGAAGGCCAGGCCGGGGCGGGCTGCACACACAACATGTCTGCAGCGCGGAGGGGACCCGCACCCGCTCCGTTCGGATAAAGGGCGAGCGGCGCTCGGCATCGCTGGGGGCCGGCAGCGACCCCTCTGCGCTTGCGAGGGCCCGGGCGGCCACGGGCGGTGAATCACGGCGCGGCGGCGGGCACCGGGGCCGAGGGGGAAGGGAACTGCCTCTCCTCTTCCTCCATCGGTGGGAAGCGGCTCCGCCACCGAGCTGTGCTTAGTCACAGCCGAGAGCGGGTGGCCCAGTGGGACCAAAGAGCGCTTGGCTGGAGCCCTGCGGCGGGGAAGAGCCGAAACAAACCCCAGCCCCGGGACTCGGCCCCGCCGGCTGCCGCCCGCCCCGGTTCACCGAGCCGAGGGCCGGTGCTGGGGTTCATCCCGGGGCAGCGCCGGGGCTGGATGGGCCGGGACATGCCCGGGACATGGTGGGGGCGAGCGCGGGCAAGTGGGGCGCAAAACCGGAACCCCTCAACCCACCAGCACCTCCGCTCGCCCAAGAGGTGACCCCAGCGCGGACCCCCGGCCACCAACACCCCACAACACGAGCGCTGCAAGCAGAGCTGCGGGACCGGCACCACAGGGAGCAGCGGGGCCCTGCCCGCCGGGACCCCCGGCAGAGAGGCTCGGGTTGGGGGGGGCTCAGGACCAGGCCGGCATCGCCCTCCGGTTGGCGAGGACGAGCCCGAGCACGGGCAAGCGCCGCCGCCCCGGTTCCCCCCCCCCCCCCCGCCATGGCGGGGCCGCGCCCGGGAGGGCTCCCCAAGGGCAGCTCCCCCGACGGGGCCGGGGTCCGCGCCGCTCCGGCCCATCCCAAGATGGAGGGGCCGTGCCCGGGCTTTGTCCCTCCCGGGAAGCGGCCCCGGCCCCGGCAGCACGGCCCCGGGCTCCTCCACCGCCTCCGGGCCCCCGCCAGAGCGGCTCCGCGGGCGGCCCCGCCGCATCCCCCGGGCCCGCTGCATCCCCCCGGCCGGATCCCGCTCCCCACCGCCCCTTGGCTCCCCCTCGGCCGCATCCCGCACCCCGAACCCGGCTCGGGCAGGGCCCCGGGCCCCCACCGCTGCCGGAGCCGGAGCCGGTCCCCGCCGCGAAGCCTTACCCTGGGCCGGCTGGGGCTGGGGCTGGGGCTGTGGCTCCCGCCCGGCGCTGCTCCTCTCCATGGCGTGGCGGGGAGGCGCAGGGGGCTGGCCGAGCCGAGCCGAGCCGAGCCGAGCCGAGCCGAGCCGCGCCGCCCCGCTCCCCCCGAGCCGGCGGGGGAGGACGCTCAGCGCTCCCCGCCCCGGCCGCGCATCCCGCCCGGCCCCGCGGCCCCGGGGATGCTCTGCCTCTCCCCTACCCACAGAGCGGCCCCGACCCCGCTCTCAGCCGCCTTCCCGCAGCCAGGACCCCCCCATCCCGCCCGTCACCCCGGCCTCAGGCCTGCCCCCAGCATCCCCCCAGCTTTCCTCGGGCTCTCGCCCATGCCCAACCCCTCCTCTCCCAAATGTTGGGGCTTGCAGCCACCCTCCCCACCGCCCGCATTTCACGATGCTCCCTCCCATCAGCTGTAAGCGCTGGCCCTGCGGCAGACACCCCCCGTACCCCCCACTGGTCACTGCCAGCACCACAGTGCACAGCCAGTGCCACTCGGATCACCCCAATTGCCAGGCACCCCAAAGAAGCGTTGATTCCCCATCCCCGATCCCCACCTTGGCTGCTTGTGAGGCCTTGAAGCTTCTTCCCCAGCACCCACCCCTCACACGTGAGCTTTAGTCACCGCCAGCAGCCTCCCCCCGCTCCCAGGGTGGGGGTTTCACCCCACACATCCCACCCTGCCTCGATAACAGGCAGATAACGAGAGGCCTCCCGGGGCAGGAGCAGAGGGCTTGGCTCAACCCTGCTCCGGGGTGAAACTCCTCTTGGCCTTGCAAGAAGAGGAGCACAGGACCAGTCCCTGCCCCAGGGAGCATCCTGGAGCAAAGGCACCCCGGGTATGGGGGCTGCCGACTGCAGCAGCACGTCTGAGGCAAGGGGCACATGGGTGTCAGCAGCAGGAACAGCCCTGGGAAACACCACTTAGGGCTTTGCAGGGGCAGCAGCAGCCAAGGACGTGTCCCTGTTTGCAGTGCAGCCAGCCCGGTCCAGGCATCCCATAAAGTGCCCATCTCTGGGTTCCTGGAACGTGCTGATGAACAGCCTGGCAGCGCCCACCAGGGATGCCTGCTTTGGGGATGATGTCACCGCAGGGCCAGGAGATCCCCTGCCACCCATCCTGCCTCACCTACCAGGCAAACAGGTTTCCCAAAATCCCGGCCCTCTCCTCCGGAAGCTCTGACTCAGGGGATGGGGAGCGGGCAGAGGGCTCCTTGCAGACGGGGCGGCCCCGCTCTGTGCTGCTGCAGGGGTGACCCTGCCCTCCAAAACCCCGAACACCCAGAGGCCCAAACTGCGGCTGAGCCATCGCCTCCCCGCGGCCCCCGGCCCTGCTCACCCGGCTCAGCCAGAGCAGAGCCTTCCCGAAACCTCCCAGCAGCCTCACCCACCGGCTGACTCCCGGCCAGGGAATGCTGCACGGCTGAGCCACCGTGCCTGTGGCAGCTGGGCAGCCCCGGGGGACAGGAGCGGACGTGGAGCAGGAGTGTGTCCCGTTGGACCCACAAACACAGGGGACGCAGGGAACAGCCCTGCTTATTTCCATGGCACACATGGACTGGGCAGAGCAGAACTGGGGAACCCAATGACTTGCTCCAAGGGTGTTGGGAGTTGGCTTCAAAAGCCTTTTGCCATGGTCCTGTGGGTCCCAGCGGGGCGGGCAGGGGGTCTGGCGCAGCATCACCCTAAAGGACAAGCCTCCCGAGGCCCTGGGACAGCTTGGCGTTGGGTCCAGCCATGCCTCTGGTCCTTCACACCATGGGGCCAGCCTGGAGCAGGGGGCATGGTGAGGCATGGGCACCCATGGGTGTACAGGGCCGTGCTCCACCGATGCTCCTGGTGCGGGCAGTGATGCGGATGGCTCCTGGCTGCCAATGCCAGCCCGAGTCAATGGGCTTATACAAGCAGGAGAGCACGGATCGATCGCTCTGCTGCACACTCTGCTGCACCCGGGCTCCTGGGGCCAGGCCCCCCCCGTCCCTGCAGCGCTGGGAGCAGCAGCCCGCCCCGCAGTGATGGAAAATCCGATGAGCTCATGACGAGCACATTGCCCAGCCCCAGCAGCTGCGTGCCCGGAGCTCCCCGTGCTCCTCAGGCCCTCGGCGTGGGGTGGAACAGCTCCGGCAGGCCGGCCTGGGGATGAGGATGCATGCAAGGGGCTGGGGAGCAGCCATGGCTCTAGCCCCTCAGCATGCCCGGAGCCTTGCCCTGATGCTGCTTGCAGGGAGCCAACGGGGTGCCAAGCACCCCAGAAGCAAAGGACAATTACAGTTATGGCTTGGCCAGCAGACGCTGCAGGGGGCTGGGTGCAAACAGGGATGAGGATGGCAAACAAACCCCACCGGCATCACTGGGCAGAGGGCTGCATGGACACCCCAATCCCGCCCGCTCCCTTCATCTCCCTCCTCCAGCCCCAGGACTTTGCCCCCATCCTGCTGCTGTGTAGGGTGTTTTCAGTGCCCATGAAGAGCACTGGTATCATGGCCAGGAGGGCTGATGTGAACTCCAGCAGACCCTCACTAACCATGGGACAGTGATGCAGGAGGAGCCCAGGGGTGAGGGTGTCCCCACATCCTGCCCTGGAGCCCGCTGCTGCCGTACCAGCCTGTCTCTGGCGGTGTGCTGGGTTAGCCACCAGCCTGGAGCATCTTGCCACGGGGCCAGCATTGCAGCCAGCCACAAAGCCCCAGCGCTGCAGGATGGTCCCTGTGGGCGCAGGTGACAAATGGGCCAGCGATGGGCTGAGCCCTGCCCTGCCTCACCGCAGCCTATCCCAGCTCTGTAATTATCCCAGGCTGCAGCTGTAATTAGTGTCCTGATGTCATGGTATCAGGCTGGGCAGTCCCACGAGCTCCCCGCCAGCCCCACCTTGGCCTCTGGCCCCAGGCTTGAAGGAGATCCCAGCCCTCCAAAACCATCCCAAGGAGCTGCAGCCCGGTTCTGGCTACCAGTGCTCCCCACCATTGCTGCTGGACCCCCATCCCCTCCCTGTCCTGCAGCACTGAAGGGCTGGATCTGGCCCTCTAGGAGCTCCCACTGCTGCATCTCTGCTCCCTCCATGCTGCCAGCATCCTGCCTGCTTATCCTGGGATGGATCCTGCCTGGAATCAGTCCTGAGCGAGCCCCCAAGGGGAGACGAAGGCAGCTTTGCCAGTCCCCCCTGTCTCAGCACAGGGAATGTGCTGGAGCAGCCCTGGCAGCTATAAATAGAGTGGAAAGCACAGGCGTGTGCTGGATGGAGCACACGTGGGTCTGGGCGGCTGCTGCCCTATGGCCGGTGTGGGGGCACAGGCAGGGTGTGAGGCAGGAATGGGGAGGAGGGTGAAGGAGTGTAAGATCCCCGTTGTCCTGTTGCAGGGAGGCACCCAGCCCTGCTCCCCATGGCACACAGACACCAGCACCCAGGGCTGCCCTTCCCCATGGATGATCAGGGGCTGGAGCAGCTCCGTATGGAGCCAGGCGGAGAACACTGGGGCTGCTCAGCCTGGAGAAGAGAAGCTGATGGAGACCTCAGAGCAGCTTCCAGTGCCTGAAGGGGGCTGCAAGGATGCTGGGGAGGGGCTCTTCATCAGGGACTGCAGTGACGGGACAAGGGGTGATGGGTTCAAACTGAAACAGGGGAAGTTTAGGTTGGATATGAGGGAGAAGTTCTTTACTGTGAGGGTGCTGAGGCGCTGGCACAGGGTGCCCAGAGAAGTGCTGATTGCTCCATCCCTGGCAGTCTTCAAGGCCAGGTTGGCCAGAGCCTTGGGTGACACGGTCTAGTGTGAGGGGTCCCTGCCCACAGCAGGGGCTGGAACTGGGTGATCTTAAGGTCCTTTCCAACCCAAACCACTCTGTGATTCCATGGCTGTCCCCACCCCTAGCACTCACGCAGGGGCCGGGATGCACCGGTGACAGTGAACTGTGCGCTCAGCACCTCCGAGGGCACCCTCTGCTTCTGCTCTGGCTGCTGCCCACCAGCGAAGAGGGTGAAGGAGCCGGGCTCGAGGCGCCAGCCCTGCGCCCAGACAGCGCGCTGCTCCGCCGGCACCCGCAGCGACAGCTTGGTGTCCCGGCCGGCCGGCACGGCCACGCGCTGGAAAGCCACCAGCTGCCAGCGCGGCACGGGCACGGAGGGCTGCTCCCACCGCAGGTACAGCTGCACCACCTAACCAGAGCCATGGAGTCAGCGCCAGCGGGACCCCCTGCATCTGGAGCCCCTCCAGCCGCATCCACGCGGGGCGGCCCTGCTCACCTCCTCGCCATCCCGCTGCCCCGTGTTCTCCAGCACCACGGACACGGAGAGGTTGGCACAGATGGGCAGCACCGGGGGGATCAGCACCAGGTCCCGGTAGCGGAAGGTGGTGTAGGACAACCCATAACCAAAGGGGTAAAGAGGGGGCTCCTGCCCATAGTACCGGTATGTCCGTCCCTCCATGGTGTAGTTCTCCATCGTGGCACCTGCAGGACGTGGCGATGGTGCAGCAAGACACGGTCAAGCACCAGCCTTTCACCCCATGGTCCCCCAGCCACTGCCATAGGGAAGGGCTATGGGGGCTGCCCTGCCCTTACCTGGTGCATGCCTGCGGGCCATGTGGCCGGCAGCCTGGCAGCGGGGCTGGCCCCAGCCTCCCCCAGCAGCACCCTGGCGATGGCGAGGCCGGCGGCCTGGGCAGGGAAGAAGCACGCCAGGATGGCACCCACAGCCTCGTGCGCCTGCGCCCAGCTCACGTCCAGGGGCCCCGCGTTGAACAGCAGCAGGATCAGAGGGTGCCCGGCGGCTGCAGGGAGATGGGTGTCACCAAGAGCCCCACATGGGTGCTGCTTGGACGGATCTGGGGTGCCCCAGGGATGGGGTCCCTGCACCACAGCCCATCAGCACCCACCGGTCCCTATTCACAAAGCAGAGCCGCACTGAGCCCCTACCTGCCTGCACTGCGTCCTGCAGCAGCTCCAGCTGGTGGCCCGGCAGGGACAGGTCACTCCGGTCCCTTCCCTCCGTCTCCAGATCCGTCCCTGCGTGGGGACAGCCAAGGGACAGCCCCGTAACCCCACCCGGGGCAGCGTGGATGGGCAGGGCAGAGGGGCACTGCCTGGGGAGGGGGGCTCGCTCCTACCTGTCCCCAGGCAGATCACCACCACGTCGGCGGCCCCCACGGCCCCCTCCACCTCTGCCCGTGAGTAGCGCTGGCACCGCGGCTCGCGGCAGCCCGCTGCAAAGCTGACGTTAACCGGCAGCGTCTCCAGGCCCCTCCTGTGCCAGGGAAGAGCGCAGGATGGTGGCACCGCGGGGACAACCCCCTTGCCCCGTCCCCCAGGGCAAGGGTGCACGGCAGCACCGCGCTGTCTCACCGCGGGGTGTAGATGTACCGCGGCTCCGGCACCGGCGCGTAGTCCCCAAACAGCACCCGGGGGTTGTCAGCGAAGGGACCCACGACCTGCGGAGGCAGAGGGGTGAGGGTGGGCACTGCAGCCCGTGCAGCTCTCCCTGCCGGAGTGCCCGGGGGATGGAGCCAGAGCCCCACGGTCACCACATCCCCCTGCCCGCCTCTGGGCCCGGTGCTCACCGCAAGGCGCTTGCCAGGTAGGTCCTGGGCCCGGAGGGGCAGCGTCCCCCGGGAGTTCTTCAGCAGCACAAAGCTCTTGATGGCAGCTTCCAGTGAGAGGTTTCGGTGCTCTGGGCTCTGCACGACGCTCAGGTTCAGGGCGCTGTAAGGGTTCATGGCAGGGGGGTCGAACTCCCCCAGCCGCATCCTGGTGTAGAAGAGGGGCCGGACCCGGTCACGCAGCATCTGTGAAGACCCCAACACCAAAACCGTGGTTGCGCTCGGTGGGGACAGCCCTGGCTCCTGTGCTCCCAGCCCCAGCTCACCTGCAGCGTGATGTTCCCCATGGCCAAAGCCTGGGGGATGCGCATGAAGACGTTGTTCCTCACGCCATAGGACAGCTCCAGGTTGCAGCCAGCGTTCATTGATGCTGCCGTGCCAGTGAGAAGGGAAATCACCCATTATACAGCTCCGCTATGCCCGGGGCCCCCCCGTCCCGTGAGCTCACCGACCGCCGTCTCCAGGAAGGTGCGTGTGTAGTGGTGCCCCAGCATGATGAGCTCCAGGGCCCCCTCATCGCTCACCACGTAGCCCTCGAACCCCCACTCGCCACGCAGGATGTCCGTCAGCAGCTTCTTGTTGGCGCAGGCAGGAACGCCGTTGATCCTGTTGGAGAGGGGACGCGGCAGCACGGACAGCCGGGCACCACCACCCCTCGGGCTCTGCGGCCCTCACCGCGCTCAGTACCTGTTGTAGCTGCACATGAAGCTGTAGGAGCCAGCACGCACACACGCCTGGAACTGGGGCAGGAAGGTGGTGCGCAAGTCCCGCTCCAGCACCTGCAAGCACCGTGGTGGAGAGGGGTCAGCGCCCGGGGGAGCCGCTCGCCATCCCCTGGCTCCGCTGCCCTCACCTTGGCATCGAAGCTGAGCCTGGACACGGGGATGTTCTCGGGGCCCCCGTGCACGCTGAAGTGCTTGCAGCCAGCGCTGGCTTTGATGTAGCGGGGGTGCGAGCCCTGCAGCCCCTGCACGAAGCTGCGGGCCAGCTCCCCGCTCAGGAACGGGTCCTCCCCATAGGTCTCCTGTTGAGGTGCAGGCAGGTCATGGACGTGACCCCCAGCCCCACACCCCGGCAGCAGCACCCCGGGGAGCTGCTGTCACCCTCTGGCTGGACAGACGTGGTCCAGGGTGGCCTGAGCCCTGCGTTCCCCCCACCCTGCTGTGCTGGCACCTGGTTCCTGCCCCACAGCGGGTGCCTCATGATGTTCAGGACGGGGCTGAAGCAGCTGAGCCCTGTGTGGTCCCCATAGCGGCCGGCAGCGGCGAAGGCGTTGTGCTTGGCTCTCACCTCGGTGGCAGTGGCGTTGGCCACCCGGTAGATGAGCTCCGGGCTGCGGGGAGAGCGCGGGGGCATCTCACAGGGCCGTGTTTCAGCGTGGATCCCCATCCCAAGGGGGTCCCGGTGCCCCGACGCCGGCACCTGAAGGCAGCAGCGAGCCCCAGTGCCTGGGGGAAGGCCGTGGCCCAGCCGGGTGCCTCCCCATCGCCGCGCAGACACTCGGTGTTCCAGTTGTAGGGCGCGATGCCCAGCCTTGGGATGGGGGGCGCGGGGCCGTTCCCCAGCGCACCCCCCCTCGCTACCTGCAGCACCAGCTCGCTGGGGCTCAGCCGGCCCAGGAGGTCGTCGAGGCGACGGTGCCAGGGCAGCGCCGGGTCCTGGAAGGGAAAGGGGAACGGGAAAGGCTCCGCTCGGCCCGGCCGGGCGCACAGCACCGCGCACAGCAGCGCGGCGGCGGCCCGGAGCCCCCCCAGCCCCGGTACAGCCGCTCCCGCGGCGGGCGCCAGGGAAGCGGCTCTGCCCGGCATGGCCCGGCTCGGATCCCGGGATCAGCCCGGCCGAGGCCACGGGCGATGGGCGCGTCGGGGCGGAGCGGGGCGCGCTGCACCTCGGTCCTGTGCCCACCGGATGGGGCGGAGCGCGCCGGGACGGGACGGGGGGTCTCGGAGCGCCGCTCGGCTCCGGCCGCTTCCCCCCGAACGAGCGGGGGGCCCGGCCGGGGGCACCGGAGCGCGGGGCTCCGAGCAGCCAGGTCGAGGTGTTTTGGTGCCCACGCTCCCCCGAGCACCTCCCGGCGCGGGCACGTCGGTGAGTGGGAAACGGGAGAGCTTCCCGGTGCGGCCAAACCGGCTCCCGGGGGGAGCGGGGCTGGGGAGCAGCTGTCCCACTGCTGCTCCAGTCCCAGCCCCGGAGCAGTGATGGGAAGGGGATTCATCAGACACAGCGCTTTAACGAGAGCCGCAGCCTGCGATGCTGCTGCAGGACCCACAGTGCCCGGTCACCTCACCACAGTGGGACACTGCCAGGGACCCACACGGTGACCAGGGACGTGGTACCTCCAGCAGCCACAGTGGCCGTGGTCACACTTTTGGTGCCTGGAGGCCAAAGCTTCTGGTCCTCCTGACCATGCCACCTGCGGCCTGACCATGCACACCTGCAGCCTGGGGACACAGCACAGGGCTGGGTGCTGGCTCTGGCACGAGCACGCCAGCAGGGATGTGGCTGGGCCTGGTACATGTCCCAGCCAGCAAGGGCCAGCAGGGCATCACCGGGAGCAGCACATGGCAATGTCTGCTCTGCGGCTTTCCCACATGGCTGTTCCCACTGTGATAGACATACAGGAGAATACTGGCTTTCGCAGTTGTGGATGTTGCTATGTGGGTGTAGTGATGAGCTTGCAATACCAGGAACAAAGATCGTTCATTTGGTGGGGTGACATTTAACGGACAAAGTGGGGAAACCAACGGTGGAACTCGCCCAGAACCCACAAGTTAAGAGGTCACCTCGAGGAAGAGTTCCGACTTCATCCCGGGAGCCACCCCTGAGACCCCCTAAGAGAAACAGCGCATGCTCTAAGAAGGCAGGATAAGGGAGGGGAAATGTAAATTAGTTCTAGGAATATGTAAATGAAATCATGAATATGTATGCGCCTGACGCAATGATGAAGGTATATAAACTTGCATTAGAGTATTAACCGGCGTGCCTCTGGCTATGGTCACTCGCCCAGCCCTGCCGCTTTTGCTTTATTGGCTTTGTCCCTCGCTAAAACCCTGACACCTCAATCAGAGGAGTGGGCTCGTTTCTCACCACACAGCAGGGTTTGGCTTGGCTCTGGACAGCCCTGTGTTTCCATGTGGGTTTGGTGGCCACCCAGCTCAAGAGGCTCATGCCCACCTCCAGCATCACATCCGTGGCATTGGGCACCGTGTTTCGCCATCCCCTGGATGTAGCTCCCCAGCTGGGAGAGAAGAGCACAAAAGGTCCCTCTGCCCGCCAGCACAGGGGTAGGACCGGTAGCAGGAGCAGGAGCACAGCAGCACTCCCAGGCTGCTCCCTGTCCTTTAGGGCTGGGAGATGGGGAAGCACAGAGACCTCATCGTCTTGCTGGCACCGTGTCCCACCCCTGCCAGGGACAGAGGCGATGCTGGCAGCTCCCCAGCCTGGGTAAGGCTGGTATCAGGCCGAGGGGCTCTCAGCCCAGCGAGCACAGGCTGCGCCGTTCCAGGGATGCAGCCATGTAAGGCAATGCCGGCGGGGCGGCTGTGTCCGTCGGGAGCCCCGCCGGCCCTTGCAGTCTCGGCACCGCTGCTCCGTGGTGACGGGGAGGGATCTCCCAGCTGCTGGATTCCTGAGCAGGGTCTGGCTTCCTCCGCCGTGCTCGGGCGGCTGCGAGGCTCGGGACGAGCTCGGTTGTCCCAGCAGTCACTGCAGCGCGCCCGGGGCCCGCTCCACCCGCTCCGGGAGATCTCGCTTTGTGCCTAACAGCGGGGCCAGGGAGGGACGAGCAGAGGCAGGACCCGGAGAAGCTTCCCCACGGACAGGCCCTTGCTTTGGCAGCGGCCCCTTCTGCGAGAGGCGACTCATCCAGCGGAAAACCCTCGGAGCTCCACCACCGGGGCCGGGGCACCCCGGCAGCCGCCGTCCCGGGACCGGACACAGCAGCCACCGCAGGCAACACCCCCGCCAGGCACCGGGGGAAGCGAGGCCCGAGAGAAGCGACCCCGGCCCGAACAACCGGAGGGTCCTGATCCCGGTCCTGATCCCGATCCCGGTCCTGATCCCGATCCCCGTCCCCATCCCGGTCCCGGTCCCCATCCCCATCCCGGTCCCCATCCCGGTCCCCATCCCCATCCCGATCCCGGTTCCGGTCCCCATCCCCGTCCCGATCCCCATCCCCATTCCCGTCCCGATCCCGATCCCGGTCCCCGTCCCCGTCCCGGTCCCCATCCCCATCCCGGTCCCCATCCCCATCCCGGTCCTGATCCCGATCCCCATCCCCATCCCCATCCCGGTCCCCGTCCCCATCCCCATCCCGGTCCCCATCCCGGTCCCGGTCCCCATCCCCGTCCCGGTCCCGGCGGCGGAGGGACCGATCCGGTGTGCGCAGTCTCCCCCTGGCGGCACGCGCCCTCCCCAGCGCGTAGTCAGGTGACCCTCCGTGCACGCCGGGATTTGTAGGCCGCCGTCGGTCACGCGAGCCCGTGGTGCACTCTGGGAGTCGTAGTCCGGGCGGCGGAACTACGGGCTCCGACGTGCCCCGCGGCGGCGCTGGGCCGGGAGCGGAGCGGAGCGGGCAGGATGTCGCGCCAGGCCGGCCGCGGCACCGAGAGCAAGAAAATGGTAACCGGAGGGGCCGGGCGGGCCCCGGAGCGACCCCGGTGGTGACCGGAGCATGAGCGGGGTGTGGGGGAGCCCGGAGGGGGCGGAGGCCCGGCCCGGCTGCCAGGCCCAGGCCTGCGGTAGCGCCCGGCTGTGGCCTCCCGCTGCCGCTGGGCCGCGCTGCCCGCTCGGGTGGCCCTGCCCTGCCCGAGTGCCCGTTACCGGCGGGCCGGTGCGGTCACGGGGCGGTTCCGGCTGCGTCTCTCTCGCTTTTCCCTTCCCCAGGCTCGCTGGGTGTTCCCGGCCCGGCTGAGCCGCGGTGGGGGGGATGGAGAAGGAGCCCGCAGAGCCGGGGGCCTCACCGCGGGTCAGGGCAGACCGAGTTCGGTGGCTCTTGGTGCAATAGCGATGGTTGAATGCCAGGAATAAACGATAACGCCCGGGTTTGCCCCCTCTTCGGCCGTGCTGGGGACCCAGCCTGCTCAGCACCACAAGGGGTTCCCATGGTGGGAGTTCAGCTCCTTCGACGCAGTGATTTTTATTGAAGGGATCGGTGTTTTATTAACCCGACGTTTTCTGTAGGCACAGAACGGTTCTGGAGTGTTGAGCCTCTGCGCTAATCTGAAATATGAAATAACATAAAGAACGGAGCATGTCTCAGGCGCCTCACTTCCATTAGATGGACTGAAAATGAAGAGTTAGGTTGCAAATACGAAGTGAGAAGTTTGCCTTGTTATAACCAGTTATAACCCATATTATATTGGGGTTTGAAGTTACCCCAATAGCAGCATCGCTGTGGCCGACACTGGGTCACTGCGGGGCTGCTAACAGTAGGTGAAGGCTTCGTGGCTTTACCCAGTAAATGCCAACATCTGGGACTGGTAACAGCTGGATTTCCTTCATGCATTCACCCCTTCTCTCCCCAGCTGCCAGGCCTAGTCCCTGCTAAAAATGACCGAAATCCCTAAAACCAGCATAACCTTTTCTGCACATTTGTTAAATTCTCTGCCCAGCCTCTGACTCTGCCACTTGAGCTCTAGGAGATTTCCACCTTGTCAGGCCCTCCTGAGCCGTGGGAGCTTCACAGCCTTTTCTTTTCCAGGACAAAAGCAGGGTTGTAAGTAAAAAAAACAAAACCCAAAGAATCCATTCTTTAGCTCTAGAATGGGGCAAAAGAAGCAGGGAGCACAACTGGTGCTTTTCAGGTGGCTCAGAGCCTTTTAGTCCCTAATTGCTGTTGCCTTCATGAATTACAATGACAAGGTGGAATTCCCGGTGTCTTCTAACCCAATTTCTACTTGGTGAATGTTTGGGAGTGATTCTTCCTTCTGTTTGTCTTGGCTTTGTGTAAACTTGTTCAGAATGAAGCGTGGTCAGTGTTGTCACTTAACTCTGTTGTCTCTTTTCCCTTCCTTTCTGCCTGCCTGCTGCTTTCATTCTGTAGTATTGGTATTTGCCATTCATTTCACCTTCTGCATCTATGCATCTCATGGTAGGTGATAGGCTTTTAATCTGAGATTAGACTAATGGTTCTGCATGCTAAAACTGAAAGCAGAAATAAAGTATGATGGTTCCTTTGTTCAGTGAGAAGCTAAAGCCCCTTGTAGCTCTTTGTTTTGCAGCTTTCAACGACTTTGTCAGTCACTGGTCTGGCTTAGTGGCTCCCAGGAAAACCTTGGACAGAGATGGGTGAAGGTGGTGGCTGGGAGAGGAGACCCCTTCCCTCGGTGTGTTCTGCAGATCTGGCCACTGTGCAAAGAAAACCCAAGTAACTTTGATCTTAGCCAGGCACTAAGAGCAGACATACAACATGAATCTGCTGAGCTGATCTGAACCCATCCTTGCTGTTCCTCTGCTGGGCCTGAGGAGCTGATTTTAATGTATAAAGCAAATTACGTACCTAGAGGAGTTCTGAGGGACCAGATGAGTCTTAGCTTTTTTCGTGGTAGCAGAATGCAGTAATTCCATGAATGGATGAACGTTTTTTGTCCTGCTCAAGGACCAGAACTGGAACCTAACCAATGTTGCCCGTTTGCAGCACGTGTATGAATGCAGGCAGCAGTGAGAGCCAGTTCCAGTGCAGGTTTAGGCGTCTGGGAGTGCCTGTAGCACCAAATGACCTGGAGGTGTCACTCCAGTTATCTGTGGGCTCCCTCGTTAAAGCACAATGGTGCTAATGGGTGTCTGAGAGTGGCCAGGGTGTGAGCAGCTCCTGGTTTGCGTCTGCAGGTCAGATTCAGGACACTTTAACGGGGAAATGCCGTGTGCATGGAGAGAGGGAGGGAAAGAAAGCGCCCAGTCGTTGCTAGTCAAAGAGGGTTTCTCTCTCCAAGGAGACTGAAGCTGCCTTGCCAAAATGCAAACCGGGATCTCTCCTTAATTCCTTTGAGACAGCAGGTTTCTGTTCCCCCTCTCCAGGCCAACGGAAGGCGCTGGACACAGATGCAGCAGTGCTCAGTCAGGTTTCCCTTTGACTTGTGCTAAATCCCTTTTGCCTCTGTCTAGAACTCGGAGCTCTTCACGCTCACGTACGGCGCCCTGGTCACCCAGCTGTGCAAGGACTACGAGAATGATGAGGATGTCAACAAGCAGCTTGACAAAATGTAAGTGGATCTGCTGCAGCAGAGCCTCATAGAGCTCAGGAACACAGCAGGAATGTCTTGATGTGCTGCTCTGCGAGTAAAAGCCTGGCAGACCCAACGTTATTTAATGCTGCTATTTCTCAGATGGATCTTCTTTCCTCCACTCTCTTCTTTTATAAACGGTTGTCTTTCTAAAGCTGTGCTCTGCCCACTCTACCTGTTCCTCTTTGGTGCATTCACAGGGGTTACAACATAGGTGTTCGGCTAATAGAAGACTTCCTGGCCAGGTCCAATGTTGGAAGATGCCATGATTTCCGTGAAACCGCGGATGTGATTGCAAAGGTGATTGCCAAAGCATGGCTTTGTCAGCTGGGGTCCTGGTTTTGCACGTGAGGACAGAGTATTTGCTATTCCCAGAACTTTGCTGAGAGTTTGACAGATTCTAGGCAGGAAAGAATTAGATCCCAGACTAGTGCTGACTGGTAGGGACTGGGAGAAATGGGTGGTGGTTTCAAAACCCTGTAGTAATTTTACAAAGATCTGTGCTGTTGCTTCATGGGACGTGTTCTTGTTCATACTCTGCCATAACAGATAGCATTTAAAATGTACCTGGGCATCACTCCGAGCATCACCAACTGGAGTCCTGGAGGCGATGAGTTCTCCCTCATCTTGGAAAACAACCCCTTGGTGGACTTCGTTGAGCTCCCTGACAACCACTCATCACTCATCTATTCCAACTTGCTGTGTGGAGTGCTGCGAGGTGCCCTGGAAATGGTGAGCTAAGGTCTCTTTTCCAGCAAGATAGATGGATAACTGAGGTACCAGCAGGTACTTTAATATCTAGTCTGTGTTCATGACTCCCATGTTTGCTTTGGACTTGAGACCGATTCCCAGGAGCAGAGCCACAGGAGTGCTCAGTTGCTGTTGCATATGGCAGCTCTTAGTCCAGAGCCCCTTCATCTCACAACCCAAGTCCAAGCACTAGTATCTGCTTGAATTTTGTAGTTCCTGAGGAAAGGTGCCTGCTGTCCACCATGTAGGCCACAATGTACGAGGAGAATGTGATCTTAGAGCTGTGTTGCATGTCTTGTCCTCACAGTCCTTAAGCTGGTGCTTCATGATCAGGTGGTGTTGTATGGGGGTTAACAGCCCTTTTTCCTCTTGATCCCCTAGGTTCAGATGGCTGTGGATGTCAAGTTTGTCCAAGACACACTGAAGGGAGACAGTGTCACAGAAATAAGGATGAAATTCATCAGGCGGATTGAAGACAATCTTCCAGCTGGTGAAGAGTGAAGAGAGCCCAGGCTCCCTTTGGGACTGGAGGGGACCAGCTGGTTTTGGCCATTAGCTTTCATTGCAGATCTGTAGGGATCTAGTGCCCCTGTACATTCAGACTGACTCACTGACTGTTTAAGATGTTGTTATATTCTTCTACTGCTCCTTCCATTTCCTGTAGAAGACGATTGTCTGGTGGCTTTTGGTTTCACAGGTTCATTCTGAGGCTTTTTTCATAAGGTGATGTCTTTCGTATTCCCCTGGGGACTCTTTCTACACTCAGTTTCTAAGTGTGACATTTGGGTGTGCAAAAACTACTGCTCAAACTCCACAGAAGCTCCAGTCTATTCAAATCTGAATCCATGTTTTTATGACCAGAATTGGAGCCCACTGATTAATTGTTAAATGCTGTCCTTAAGAAGAGGTGTTTAAAATTCAAGTGCATAGTATTGCTGTCAAATTAACTGGCCTCCTGCAGTTAATGCAGCTACTGGTAAAACACAAGCTTGATACAAAGGGGTGATTTAGGAGAGCTGTTTGGGTGCTGGCACCAGGGTGGGGAGGCTCCTTTTGTCAGCAGTGGCATCGTGCAGCACTGGCAGATTCATGTGGCCTTTCTGCAGTTTCTCTTCTTCCAGCAGACTCATGATCCCCTCCTGAAAGGATGACCATTAAATTGCAACAGGGTTAAGGTTTTAAAAGGAGAAAAGGAATCCAGAAATGCCAGCAGTGTTCCCAGCCAGGGGCAAGGCCACAGGATGAAAACCAAAACTCAGGCTAAAGGCTTGGAAGGTCGCTCATCAGCAAGCGGAGCCTGTTCTGCTGTTAGGGTGTACAAACGCTGCAGTGTGGAGGTGGTGCTGGGGTGTATGCTCACAGATGTTCAGGCTGCAACAGAATTTCCTCTGTTCCTTGAATTGGCAAGCGAGGACAGGCTGTAGCACCCGCTGTTGTGTCAGATACACCGAGTGCTGTTAGGTATTGGAAAATCAACTTTCTCTGCCAGAAACTGCAGTCAGCCATTCCGTTCTCAAAGCACTTTACATAGCATGAAGGCACAGATCCACAGAGGAGCTTGAAGTCGATAGCACTTACCCACAGCCACAGGAGCTGGCAGCTCCAATACCTTTGTAGGTTTATGCCCGAGTGTAAGGTGCAAGAGAGAACGCTGCTGCTGTTTGTTCAGGTTCTTTGTATGGGCATTGGATTATCTGGACACTGCACAGCTTGCCTGCTCCCTTGTTTTGTCCAAAGGAGTCCCTTTGGTGTCAGGGTTTGGATGTCCTGAGTGATGGGTCCTGTGAAGGGGCAGCAAGTTGCTGTAAGAACAGTTGGAGAACATCAGGAGCAGCAGTGGCAGGCGGGTGTTGGAGGCAGAAGTGCTGCACAGTCACGTTGCGGAGATCAAAAAGACCTGTTGTTCCTCATCATTGACCGTTCTAAGTCATGTTAAGGCTGCATTTTAAAAGCAATTGCATTAAAAAGAATCCCACCGTCAACTCTTTGCTTTCCTCGTGCCTGTTCTTTGGGTGCTGGTGTGGAGCAGCAGGGAGCAGTGTGCCCGTGGCAGGGCGATGGCACTGCAGGACCAGGAATGTCCGGCTGCCAGCACCTGTGGAAGCTGCTCCTTGAAGGAAACCTGCCCAATATTGAGCACACAGAGGGATCGGGGCTGGGGGTGGGATGTGGGGAGCTGATGGGCAGGGCAGGGCAATTGGTGTTTGAGGACTGGCCTTTTCCTGCCCCGTGAGTACCCACACGTGTACAGTAGCCAGCACTCACTACCAGCCCAGTGGTGAGTGCAGTCTGCTGCAGAGAAAGAGCCAAGAGATGCTAGTTCTGGTCATTGGTAGTGGCAGAAAATCACCTCAGGAGGCATCTGTGCCCCTCTGTGCCAGCTCGGCGCAGGGCCTGCTCCACAGCTGCCATTAGCCACCCAGTGCTGGGAACGTGCAGGCAAGGAATGGCAACTGCAGGCTCTGCGGGAGCAGGAATTCGTGCTGCCCTTGGTTGTATGAACAGTGCAAATGCTCCCCAAGAGCCTGCAGTGCAAGGCGAGCATCCCCATGCACTGCACTGAGCACCCACAGCTTCCCCTGGCTCTTACAGTAAAGGATGGGGAAAGAGCAGCTCTTACAGTGGCTTCTCTCTGGCTGGAGATGGCGAGCATCACACAGTCCTTAGGGACAACGCCGCAGGGGGTCCTGAGGGGATGGAGGCCCCATGTCCTCATTGACATCGCATCTCAAAGGGGGTTATTTTAGAGCAGCAAAGCTCCCACCGGCTCCTTTTCCCTCCTGTGGCAAGCAAGGGACCGTGCTCATCCCCAGTGGGGGGGTCCCAGGTTCCCACTCCCAGGAGTTACAGACCTGCACAGGGATTTGCCAGGCGACTGGGTCAGGAGCAGCCCCTCTGAAAGAGCAGAAAGCAGGAATCACATCAAGTAAATTAAAGCTGTCTACTACCGAGCAGCTCATTGTAGACAAGGGAGAATATGCAAAAAGCTCTGTTTGAAAGCTCCTAAATATTACCATGTGCTGTTTATAGGAAACAAATGGGGAAAGGCATGCTGCATCCATAAAACCCTCAACATGGTTGGAGTTGGACTAAAGCCTTTCCACGGCTCTAGGTTATTGAATACCCTGCACTTTCATGTAGTGCCAGGCCTGACCCCTGGACACATACCACGAAGGGGAAAGTTGACTTGTGGGGATAACAGACATTCCTGGTGAGCGACCTAACCTGGCAGGAAAAGAGGCAACTTGCAGCCTTTCCTATCGCTGTGTGATACTAGGGATGACAACAGCAACAAGGAGGGGGACGGGACGGGACGTGGGATATGGGGTGGGAACACTGCTGCAGGACCCTGGTGGATGGCAGCAGATGGACTCTGCATCACCCAGCCCCATCCCAGAGCAATGGATTAGCTGCAGAAGGAGCTTTTCCAGCCCTCACCCTCCTCCAGCACCATGACTGGTCCCTGACCATGCACCCTGATGGGAGCTGAAGCCCCATGTGGAACTTACCAGGGTCTAACTCGAGGTCTTAAACCAGTTTCCCCAGCATGGGGACAACCTGGGTGCTGCTCCCATCCTGCCCAGGGTTTGGTGCAAGGGCTGTTTGCTGCCCCCCTGCTCTGAGCACACAGTACAGGGCAGTGGGACTGCACAGAGTCAGACCCACTCCCCCTCGCACCAACAGCATCCCTCATCCCACCCTGGAGCCAGGCAGCTCCTCCTGGTGGGAAGCAGAGCTCCCAGCCCCACTCCTGCCACTTTACCCAGACCCCATGGCCCGGCAGGCACTGAAGGGGCAGGGATGGTGCTGGGAGAGGAGCTGGGATGAGGGAATCTCCCCAGGAGGGAAGCGTTTCCGGACTGGTGTCCTCACTGCCGGGGCAGCTCCCACAGCTTTCAGCCAGATGTGCTTGGCCGGGGTGCCGGGTGAAGGATGCTTCACCCATGAGGGCTTGCACATGGGAGCAGCAGCTCCTCCACATGGTGCCGGTGGCCCTGAGCAGCCAAGGCGCAGGCAGTGCTGGCACCATCCACCCACAGCTTGGGACCCCTCGAGCCCTGCACACAGGGGATGCTCAGCCCCAGCTCCTCAGGCACGTCCCCAAGCACACACTGCAGCCATGCATTGAAAAGCTGTTGGGTGCTGTCAGCACCCAGGCCGGGTGAGAGGATGCTCAGGGTGTAGGTTCCAGCCATGGATCCATCCCTGCCCCAAGACTCCCAGCTCTGGCCAAGCATCTCCCTGTGCCTAGCCCCACATGGCTACCAAATGAACACATTTTCTCCCTGATAAACCTGGCAAGTTTGGGTACATGGATAAACCATGCCAGGCCCCTGGACCAGCAACAAAGCACATTCAGCTGACCCGGGAAGCACGAACAGGCTGCAAAATCCCTCCCCAAGTCACAGCAGTGCTGCAAAACCACTGCCCTGGCCCAAACATGGTTTCCAAGGCTGGGAATGCCCATTGGCAGCAGTGCTGGGTCAGGGCAGCCCTTTGGCAACGCTCCTTGGCACCCGCCCTCCTGCAGCATCCCTTGCCAGGGCTGAGGAAGAGGAGGGGAGCTGCGGATCCCTGGCCTGAGGAGGCAGCAGCGCCGCTGGGAGCTCTGCCACGTCCTGGTGCTGTTTGGTGTTTTGGGTGAAGGGGGCTCCATTGTTCCTCTTTCATTGTTTCGGGTTTCCCAAGCAGGACAAGCGCTTCCCTCCCACCCTGGGCCCGGCTGCGGAGCTCATCCAGCCCTTTGAAAGGCATTGAAGGCGCCTGCTCAAGCACTGGGTGAGTGGAAACACAGCGAGAAACCTCCCTGCTCCCAGGCACAGATTGGCCCCGGCAGTGCTTGCATGGGGCACAACTCATCTCCGTGTCCCCCTGCTCCTGGCCAGGCCCACGTCCCCAGCTCACCACATGCTGCTTTGCATCCCTATGGGGCTGCTTAGGCAGCGGCACCGTGTGCCAGGCTGTGAGGGGAAGGGGCAGCAATGGTGCAACAGACATCAGCCGAGCCCCAGCACCATTGCCAGCCCTGTGCCGGGGCCCAGCGAGGGCACGGGTCCAGGGCCACGGGCTGGTCCCCACCACTCCCCCCATCAGGCAGGCAGAGGCCGTCCTTTCTCCCTGCGGTTTCACTGCTCTCGGTTTCTCGTTGTGCTCCACGCCACGAAACCCCAGTAATTAAAACCACAGGCACCATGGTCCCGCGGCAGCAGCACCGCTCCCCTCCAGAAGCCATCCCCTGCTGCCCGGGGGATGCCGCATCCAGCTCCATCCACAGTGGTGCAGGATGGGGTGCGCAACAAGCACTAAAGCCATAAGCTTTAGACCCCAAGGAGAGCAGGGTAGGACCAGCCCAGCCTTTCTACAAGAGGTGCTGCGTTGCCAAGGGGTGACTACTACACTGGAACACCCAGAGCCCAGAGGCAGCTCCGGGAAGCTGCTTGGCCTGGACAGGACCTTCCCTTCAGGCCAGGAACAGAGAGGCATTTTGATGAGAAGTGTTTGTTTGCTTTTAAAACAGCTCTAATTGTGGCTTCCAAGGAAGGGAGCTGCTGAAACAGCCCATGTTTCCCTGCGCCGCAGCAAGGAAATGGGTTGTTGAAGGACATCCAACCCATTTGCTGTCCTGTTGCAGGAGCTATTTGCACAGCCCATCCCCGCTGTATTTAGGCTGACTTGGGCTTACAAAACGAGGGATGGAGCTCCAGGTAACGCAGCTCCTGCTCAGCCGCCACATGCCAGATTAACCCTTTCCTGCAGCACTTCAAACCTGCAATGTCCCATCCTGCAGCACCCGGGTCCCCCTTTCCCAGTTGCCATTAACCTGTTCATGCAGCAGCCAGCCCCAGCCTTGCCCAGCTGCTGGAGCCTCCTGCACATCTGGGCAGCAGCACAGAGCAGCCCTCGGGGTGCTCCAAAGGATGGGCCCCCCAGGACACAGCCCATCCCTGATCCCAGTCCCACCATGGCAACAGGCTCACCATGCGCAGGACCAAAGCGGATGCTCAGGAGCAAGCTGTGGTCAAGGCTCCCAAGCAGTTAATAGAGAGCAGAGCAGTGATTTGAAGGTTTAAACCCAATCCCCTCCCTGACCGAAGCAAAGCCCCGTACTCTTCTCTCAGCTCCAGAATCCCATTGGCTTCTCCCTGCCCTTCACATGCAGGCAGCTGGGACACAGTCCTCACCAGAAAAATGTCTTTTTCCATCAAAAATGACTGGGTTTGTGTAATTATTGCTAGTTCTGCCATCCAAGAGCTCAGGGGGAAGTGGCCAGGGCTGGGGACAGCTCTGCCCCAGGCTGTGCCTCCAAGTCCCCATCCCACAGCTCACCCACGTGCCCTGGCTGGAGCCACCAACACAGCCCAACCAGGGCTGTTATTGCTCCCCCAGGTCCCGCAGCAGCGAGGCATTGCTGGGAAAGTGCTTGAGCAAGATCCCACCGAGGAGCTGGAGGGGGATCCCCTGCAGAGGGGAGGAATCAGCGGCTTCCTTGAGCATAGAACACCAAAGCGACCTGGTGGGACCTCTGCTTGCCTGCTGCACAGGAGCCGGGGGGAGCAAAGAGGCAAGGCCTTGAGCTCCTGCATCCCCCCAGCTCCAGCATCCCCTGCCCTGCTGCATCCCTCAGGCTCCAGCACCCCCTCCCTGCTGCATCCCTCAAGCTCCAGCATCCCTTAGGCTCCAGCATCCCCTGCCCTGCTGCATCCCTCAGGCTCCAGCATCCCCTGCCCGGCTGCATCCCTCAGGCTCCAGCATCCCCTCCAGACAGGGCAAGGGAGCTGTGCTGTGGGTACCAGCTGGCCAGGAGCTGGGAAGCAGAGCGTTAACCGAGACAGCCGGGCCAGGAAGCGGAGCCCAAGGAATGAGGAAGCTGAGGAGTGGGCACCGTAGTGGAAATGGCTTGGCACAGGCTGTGGAAAATGGAGACCTAGAGAAATGTGACAGCAGGCTGGACTGGCTGGGAGTACCACACAGGCGTATTTAAGCCTTCAAGCCTGCCATTGTTCTCCCCTAATTATTCCCACTCCCTGAGTATTACACCCCATAATTCAGGAAAGCTGAGTAATGGAAGAAACAACAGCAATTTTAATCTCTCAGTACCGGTGGTCTCCACCAGAAAAATGCTTTCAAGAGCTCTGCGGTTGCGACTTCCTCGGTTTGGTGGGCAGTGAGGGGAGGGAGGGGACGGCCACCGGCCCATGGGGGCTCCGCCAAGACCTGGGGTGAGGATGGGAGCAGGGACAGGACCGGGGACCTTCCTCTGGGTGATGGAGAGGAGCAACAGGAACACCCTGGGCGCTGGGAGCATCCCCAGCACGGACCACATGAGCCCCGCTCCAGCAACCAGGATGGCTTTAGGGTGATGCTCTCCCCACTGCACTGGGGCAGCCATGCTGGGGAGGAGCGGAGGCACCCACCTCGCACCACTGGCACTTCACCTCCTTTACACCACAGAGCACTGGGCATCGGTTTTTGGTCAAAGCATGTTTTGCTTAATGGGAGCTGGCTTCCAGAAGAGGAAAATCTGATCTCCCTAGAAATGCGCTTGGTTTTCCACAGGAGCCAACTGCGGGTTC